AGCAAACAAAAAGGTTGACTAAATGCCAGAGACTTTCTGGGAAGTAGTTGCTATTTGCTCCTAGATTAGACTGATAATCAATGTCTACAACCACTCTAAAATTGAAGTAGCCACTTCTCCTACTGCCCTGATGTCCTGAGACATCAAATCTGGGGCCCTTCCCAACCCACCTGTTATTTTGCATCTATTCAGTGATTACATGTCCTAGTATGCAGCAATGGCAGAGAGGACAGACAAGACTAGAGAAGAAATGGATAGTGGCAAATGACATTTTAGAAGGTTGAGATCATCTCAGGATAAGACATACAAGTGAGGAGGAGTCAACAAGAATCCTGGAAGGAATAAAGTTAGAAGCTGCAGTTTTTCACGTTCTGTTGTCAAAGAAAATCTGAAGTCTGATTTAGGATTGGTAGGATATGTCTAGTCTTCCTCACAAGCAGATAAGAAAGAAGTGGGAACAGGTGTCTCGCTTCTGCCCAGGAAGGTCCTGGTAGATCAATAACCACTGGGTATTGGACAACAGGTGAGAGGCTATGCGTATACCCTGCCCTTCAGCTTAAGATCTGACAGTGAGATTCAAAGAGCACTGAAGGGCCGAGAACAAACTATACACCTTGTTGATTAGCAAATACCAAATAGAGCTAAGTTCCACCTTCCTCAAAAATCCACAAAACAAATTTGCATAAATGAAAATATTCTGTTATGTAAGAGAGGAAAGCATATCTCTGAATAGGACTTAGAAAAGCTTTAAGGGTGAAAAGTTTAACAATACATTGGAAGCTATTTACTAGTGAAAATCATACCATGTCCTAAAGTGTTCCTAACATATAGGCTGAGTAGTGAATTTAAAAGACTAGTAAGGCGTTTCTTAGCCAGTGTGAGGTTAATTGCTTACCATGGCCAATACATTTAAAATTCTGCCAACTAAAAAAATGTTTATTAAAAGACTAACATCATACACAATGTCTCTAGATTTGTTATAAGTTAATCAACTGTAAAAAAATTAAAATCAGTATTAGAAATCAGTGCGTTTGTCATATGATTTGGTCATACACAAATTATAGGACATCGCGGTGATGATACTCGTGGCTGAAATGAAGCTTTTACAGCAAGGTACCTCTGTTTGAATGCTTGTAATGCTCTTAGAAGTGGTGAGTCTTTGAAGCACAGTTGTATGGATTTCAAACAAAAAAATTAACATTTTCTCTACTCTTTTTTTTTTTTTTTTGGTAAGGAAGATCAGCCCTCAGCTAACATCCATGCCAATCCTCCTCTTTTAGCTGAGGAAGACTGGCCCTGGGCTAACATCTGTGCTTATCTTCCGCCACTTTATGTTGGACGCCACCACAGCATGGGCTGACAAGCGGTGCCTCAGTGCGCACCCGGGATCCAAACCCCAGGCCACCAGCAGCGTCGCACACGCACGTAACCGCTAAACCATGGGGCTGGCCCCTCTACTCTTTTTGTTCCAAAAGATATAGAGAAAATATATCTGGTGCCTCTGTATCTGCTACCTCTTTTGTGCTATTACAGAATGAATGAGCCATTCTACTATTAGATAAAGGAGGTGGGTCTCCATTGCCATAGGAAATTTACAAAAAAGTAAAAGTGAATCTTTGAAGCTGTGACAAGCCAATTCAAGTTTCTGTTCTCAAGTGGGATTAGAACTCATCAGTGTATTCCTTTTTTTTAATATCTGACTGTTTCCTTCCCTCCTCCCCACACAAATACACATATAGAACCAAGGGGTGGCAGGAAAACCAAATACTATTAGCAAAAGTCATGTATTTTTCCTTAATTTGTGCCTGTTTTATTACCATCAGTTTGATAATGTCAGGTTTTGTAGGTTGCCAGTAAATTTTTACTATATATAATATCGACATAAAACAAAATGCCAATTAATGCTTCCATATTTGCAGTATTACAGTTTGCAATACATTAATGGTCCTCAAGAACACATTTTGTATTAATAAATTTATCATCACAAAATTAGTTATAAAAAGACATTTGTAGTGGGTTGATTGGCGTCCCCTCAAAAGACAGGCCCACATCCTAATCCCCTGCCTTATTTGGAAAAGAGTTTTTGCAGATATAATTAAGGATACCAAGATGAGATCATCCTCCATTATCTGGGCAGGCCCTAAATCCAATGACAAGTCCTTGTAAGAGACATACAGAGGAACAACACATAGAGAAGAGAGGCCATCTGAAGACAGAGGCAGAGATTACAGTGACAGAGCCACAAGTCCAGGAATGCTGACAACCACCAGAGGCTGGAAGAGGCAAAGAAGAGAATGTCTCCTAGAATCTCGGGAGAGAGCACAGTCCTGTAAACACTTCGATTTCAGACTTCTGGCCTCCAGAATTGTGAGGGAAGACATTTCTGTTGTTTGAAGCCACCACGTTTGTGGTAATTTGTTCTGGCAATTCTAGGAAACTGATAACAACACTTTTTCTTTTCATGCCCCTCCTTTCATTCAAAGGTTATGAATAATGATAATCACATTCACTGAGCACTGTCTGCATGTCAGAAATGACAAGTTTTTTACAGTCTTTTTCTCATTTAACCTTCCTAACAACCCTGTGAAGATATTATTAACTCATGTTATAGATGAAGAAACTGAGAACCAGTATTCAGACCCAAGTCAGTCTGATTCTAGTCCTTGCTCCTCCATTAAAAATGCTAGACAAGGGAGAGTATAAAGTAAATGAATACTTTTTTTGCTTGCATATGCATTTATAAAGTCTCTGTAAGGAGAGGGAAGAAGAGAGAGATAGAAGGCAAGCTGGGAGGGTATCTTCCACTCTATTACTTTTTTTTTGGTGAGGAAGATTGGCCCTGATCTCACATCTGTTGCCAATCTTCCTCTTTTTACTGAGGAAGATTGGCCCTGAGCTAACATTTCTGCCCATTTTCCTCTATTTTGTATGTGGGACACCTGCCACGGCATGGCTTGACAAGTGGTGCCCAGGTCCATGCCTGGGATCTGAATCTGCAAACTCCAGGCCGCAGAAGTGGAGAGCACAAACTTACCCACGATGCTACCAGGCTGGCCCCATTCTATTACATTTTTAAAAATTTCTGAACCATGTTAATGTATTATATATTAAAAAATAGAAAAGAAAACAGCAGCTGCCTAGTGAAAGAAAAAATTTAAATCCTCAAATAACAAGAAATTAATAAAAATAAGAATTTATGAGCAAAAAGGAACAATTTTGAAGACATTAAAATTATATCAGATAGGAAATAAGGAAACATGTCAAGAAAATATTAAGTGACTACTGGAGTGCTGCTGACCCTTTTGTTGTTATTTAAATACAAGTCAACCCTTTCCTACATGTCCTAACTCTCCCACCTTCTGCTCTGCTCATTAGCATCCCCCTTACCACTGACAAGAGTGGACAACGGTAACTAAATATCCCAATGTTCAATGTACAAGCTCTCCCTCAGGCATCTCTCTCCTTTTCTATTTGTTGTAGTTCTTGAAAGTCTGATAATGCAGCCTAAGAGAGTGTAGAAATTAGGTGTCTCAAAACACAGATTATTATCAAAGGAGTTATAAATCTGTATTCTTTGGATGTTATTTAAGAAAATGGAGATTTTTTTTTGTCCTGAGTGTTTTGCATTCAGACCTAGAATTAGGAGAAGGAATTACTTATGACCTTGAATAGCTATTCCAGAACCTGCAATTCTAAAATTTTAGTGCCTTTCTCCATCATCCTCCTATCTAAAATGTGTGAGCTACAAAAATACCAAAAAAATAGGATTCTTATCGTTATATTCCTCTTCCTAGGATCCTTCCTTAGTAAGCCACTCCTCTTTTCCTTAAAAAGAACTTCTCTAATAATTTTCAAAAGAACAAGAAAATAAATTTTTATCAAGATAGTGACTCCGTTTTTCATTATTATCAATTAGCATTTTATCACATCTTTACAACCACTCAATATGCCAATCGAAGTCGCTGCTTAAACTTTCCCAGAGACACATGCAAACCCCAAAAGATAATTGAGTAGATTAGAGTGAACACCAATAAAATCCGGGTCAAACTTAATAACCTTCAAGCAGCAGCAGCCACAGTGCATACTAAACGCACCAACCATGAACGAGATGTTTTATGAAGCCAAATCAATTCAGGGCCTTCTGAGGGTGATCCATTTCCACATGCTGACTTTTGTATGACTTTTTCTTTTCAGTATATTTACTTTGAAATGTAACTTTCATTTCACTACTTTCAATAGAGTGTTTAAAATGACAAACTGATTACTGGTAATTAATTCTTGATTGACTTGCTCTATTATGACTCATGGAAACGAGCCATAAGAGATAGAAACTGGCTGGGGTATAAAACTGTGGCAAGGTATATTTAACTAACCTAAACCTTCAAGTAACCAGGATTTCAATATTAGAAATCACAAATGGAACTCAGAAAGAGCAGAATCAACAAATATATTAAGCCTACACTACCCAAGACTTTTCTGATACCGGTACCACTTGTTTTCAGGATCATTCACATTTAATTCTATGGAGCAGTGAGGGTATCTTGTCAAACACCCTCAAGATGGCACGGGCTTCAGGAAAGTGTTTATCTCATGGCTTGCTCCTCACTTGAACTCTGGGGAGGACACTGAAACAAAGGTACTCTTACAAAAGAGGTTATACCATGTACACATTTTTTTCCACAATCAAATTCACTGATTCCTTAAAAAAATATATTCTACAAGTACCTACTGTGAACCAACGCATTAGGGAAGGTAAACAATAAATAGGGTCCTGCCTTGAGGGGTGGGCACCCTAGCTAGGGACACAGTGGGACATGCTAAGTGCTCCAACGCGTGGTGGTGTTGTGAGAAGCACCAAGGGCCCACAGAGGAGAGGGTAGCTGATTTATTCCGGAGAGTTTAGAAATATGTCACAGGTGTCTTTGAGCTAGAAAGGCCACTGAAGAGCTATTCCTTTAAAGGTTTTGGAAGTAATTTGGCTTTTTGCTTCTTTCAGATAGGGTATCCCATAATTTACCCTGCATTATTGAGGTGATAGCCAGGTGTCAGGTAAATTTGAAAGTCTAAATGCTAGGAACTGATCATATGTTCCTACATTTTGAAATAGTATTTTCATATTTGATATGCTTTCCTAAGCTTCTAGCTCTCATTATACTTGTAGGTTTTAAAAAAGAAATTATCATTATGGGGTCTGTCCCACCAATTATCAAAGCTCTTACCCATGCCACCCCTTTCCCCCAGTAACTGGTCTGAATTTTTGTTAAAAAAGTATTCTGAGATAATAATAGATTTACAGAGTTATAAAAATATTAGAGTTCTTATATATCTTTCACCCAGATTTCCCTAATGTTAACATCTACACAGTCATAGTACAATTATCAAAACTAAGCAATGAACATTGGTTTAATACTATTAACTAAACTACAAACTTTATTCAGATTTCAGTTTTTCTACTGATGTCTTTTTTCTGCTCCGACATCTTGACCTTTTTTTAAATAATTTACTGAATGATAAATGATCAGTTCTTAGAGAGAGAAAAAGGAATAGGAATTAGAACTGCCAGCTTCTTAAATGAGACATTCAGGGTTAAGAATATACATTTTTTTACACTTTTAAACATGAGCTTTGTTCACTGTTATTTTATATGCTACTCATTGTATAACCTTAACTGAACTCTGACACATAACAGATGCACAAAAATACATTTTTCACAATTCCACTCTCTACTCTCCCCTGTTATTTAAAACTAGAGGTGGTTCTTTACACTGGGGATGGAAGGCTCAGTTCCATCTGGTGAGGTTTCACAAGAGAGTATCAGCCGTAAGTGCCATGTTCTAGTGGGAGAGTGGTAGCTGCAGATACCCATATTGAGATCCTCATCTGCTAAAAACACGAGCTCCTCCACCGTCTAACATCAAAGCAGGAAGTGATCTGTCACCAGCACCTCTGCACACCCCTCATTTATCCTCTGCATCATTTCATATCTAACTAGCCAACAGAGGCCAAGGGGCTTTTCTTCAAATTATTCTCCCTTTGAAGGGTTTCATTGTGAACTGCACATAAGAATGCTAGAAAACCAGGCCAGGGAGAAAAACACCTGAGATGACCCCTCCTGCTTGTTTCTTCCTCTGTGCTCCTTTTCAGACTGGCAGCACCGGCTGGGATCACATAATATTTTCATTTATTCAGTAACATGAAAGCCGGGATCTTGGAATAACAAATGTGCTTAACTACCCATGGCACACCACAGGGAACATTATTTTGACATGTATATGAAAAGTGGAAGTATAAACTGCTCTGGCACAAGGAGGATACTCCATCTCTTCTAGAAGTTAACAGTGGACTACTTCAATAGAACTGGTCAGGGAGCTGCTTTTCAACAATTCTCCAGAGTCCTCGGCATTAGTCAGAAATTCTCTTTTCTTGCAGCGTCATTGCTAAGTGTACTGCAAAGCACTTGTAGCACTGCTGGAACTTGTAGCTTTATTGGGGATTTGGTTCATTAGCTAGAAAAAAACATTAAGAGCCACAGTATTTCCTTTGGTTAAATAAGAATAAACCTCAGTCCGTTAGTATTTTCCACCACTCCCATACAACATGCACAGTGCCCAGATGCTACGAAAATAATAATTCCACTCTGCTTTGAAAATAGAAGCATTTATAAAATTGTGGAAATAATTGTTACTTATTTAAGAGGTTGCTGGAAGGCCTAGTGCTCGGGAGAGCATGTATGTGCGAACGTTTGTAAACTGTAGAGAAGGACGCCAACTGCAGGCTTAAACGCAGTTCTGCTTCTTTACATCCTCCACAGATCCTCGCATATAAAAGTCCTCAGATGTTTGTCAAGCGTCTAATATATTTGGTGCAAAGGACCTTGGTAGTCAAAAGAGATGCCAAAGTCATTAATTATATTTAAATAAACATTAGAAACATATATACAAGATAATAAACCCCCAATCAATTTGGGGCTTGCTATAATTTAATATCATATTTTAGAAGAGATGTTTTTTGATAATTTACTGGAATCATCTAAATCCATTTGACATATTCATAGACCTAGGAGAACACTAAAAATTAAATGACTCAAAACCCTTAATAAATGTTTGAAGCTTTAAAATGTTATTTTTTCTCCTCTTATTCTATTGGTTGGGTTAGGCTGAGGGGACTACAGACATTAGAAAGATCCTGGCCTAATACTGTGTCCTATTTTATATACTTCCAGCAGGACTTATAATCATGAAAAATTCTTCCACTACCCACTGTGAGAAATGAGGCTACTCTGTTGCTTCAGATGTGTAGCAAACCATTTGGTGTCTCGCTAAATTCCGGATGTAATGTTTTTCTCATCAGATTGATTGTCAAGACCTTCATTTTACGTGTAACAAGACAGAAGTTGGAAACTGGTGGAATCTGATTGATTTTCTGATTTGCCCCACCACACGGCACAGTCAACAATTAGATTAGTTGTTTCAAAGAGCTTCACCATTTCAAATCTCCACCTGGGAAGAAGCAAGCCAGGGGTAGTTGCTATGGGGACCACGTCCATGGCTAGGCCCCCAGGCTTAAACACACTGCCCCACCAGTAACCATCTCTTCTGAATTTTAGTACTTTGGCTACAGTAAGGAAAAAGAACACATAAATTGTGAGTCATTTATTGAACATGAATCAACTTTCAGTGATGAAGAAACAGTGAATATAACTATTCTTGATTTTTTTCTCAAGAATAAGTAATTCTTGTACTATTAGAGAGAACTTCTGTCTCTCGACCATAAATACAGGAAAAGGTTATTTTCTGTTACAAAGCACTGTTTAGAGAATTAATTAAAATAAAGCCTTTGATAGGGTCATTTACCCAGCAAATTATCTTTCTATATAAAGACAAAGTACATATCCATTTGGTGTCAATAATATCATGAAAAAAGAAACAAACAGAAAGTGAACTCTTAAAAGAAAAATAAAATAGAAAGTGAACTCATAAAAAGCAAACTCTTGAATATCGTGGATTTTACCTGAAAGCTTTACTATCATTTTACTTTTAAGGAAGATTTTAACCTTTTATTACTATGTTGTTTAAAAATAATTCACTAAGCCTACTAGATTTAAGTATTACTTTTTCATTAAGTAAAGCCTATCAAATAAACTTTTCACATAAATATTTTGGTCACAGTTAATTATTGGTTAATAACTGAAACATATTGTCAACACATTGTTAATTTGATGTAAATTGTGACTCAAAAGATCTCATTTTAAAATTAGAACATCACTTCTTATCACCAGGACGTTACAGTCTTTATTTAAGCATTCCTTTAAGATAGACTGAAACTGATTTCCCAGAGCTTTGGTTAACGAGAGTGCTATATCCCAATGTACTATAGATTATTTCACACTGTAGCCTTATTTCTACTGATTGACAAAAGAAGCCCACCTTCACACTTGCCCAGGAATAGTCCTCCATGGATGCAGAGGGGGTTAAAAGCCTACCCTACTCATTGGCTTTAAGGTAACATTCATCTCACCTTGTTGCTTGGTGGCAAGTTTACCTAATTGAGTCTAATGTGTGACAAAGTAACAGTTCACAGGTTTATGTAAAATTCTTTTATCTAAAACTTTTTTTTCCTCACTTTGTGATTTCACATAGAATACTGCTTTATTTGAACAGCCAGCCTTTGTCAGTGTGAAGCCAGGTTTTGACCAATGAGGACGTGGACAAAACTGTTGCTTTTTCTCCCAAGTGTTTCTTCAATCTACTTTATCAAAGCAAAATTGAGAAGCGGTTTCTGGTGGAAACATTTGTAGTTCCGCAGGCAGATCAAATGATGTGGACAAGGATCAGGATTTATTTACTTTTATGTCTCCTCTAATATCTTAGAATCAATATTCATCCTCAGGGAAAGGACCTCCAGGATGTGAGAAGGCCTCTGGAAGTTCCAATTCAGCAGCACCTTTGCCAAAGGAGTCGTACAAACGACATACAGGGGGCCCATCCTCGTCAGTCATCAGGCCCTCTTGGCTGCAGGTACCAATTTATCTCGCTGTGGGGAACTGCACAGGCTAATTTTATTTTACATATTGGATATTCTAATAATGTAAATTAATAGTGGATAATAATGTTCTTACTTAGAGAACAGGATTCTCAAGTTAGAGAAAAACATGTAGATGTTGAATGTTTCACTTTTTACTGCAACCAAGTATTATAATTATTACTCCAAAGTAGGAATTGGTTTACAGATGGTTAACTAATTTGGAGGAATGCTCTTGTTTATGCCTCTGCCCCTACACTGCCCTCAGCCTTTATACGTCTCATTCAAGAAAAGGTTATGTTCTGTAAGAGAAAGAAAACAAAACGAACAATTGAAAAACTTGAACTACATCTAATCATTCATGGCTACATATGATAATGAAGGAAAAAAGACAGGAATTGGCAGGGGAAAGGTGGTCTTTTAAAACTTGTATTGCTGGGGTAAACAATCAAATCATGGCACAAGATGTGGGAAAAAAAGATGATAAGAAACATATTAGAACTAAAAAGGAAGGGCAAAGGAAGACCAGCTTTTATTTTCTATGCAGAGATAGTCAAACACGTAAACCATGTTATTTTTTAGTAGGCTGAGTGAACTGAAAATAAACAGTTGTACATATTTTTGGATATTTGGTCTTAGTAAGCTAACTCTAACTTTTGGGGTTTGGCCTCACACAAGGACATCAGTCTTTCTAGGCACAAAGCGTATATGAGGAGCTATCTTTAAAAATGAAAACAAATCCCTCAAAGGGTCCCTCCCTCAAATATTCTCACAGTTCCACTTCGCCACACGCTTTTGGAGTAGATGCCGCGTTCAATTTCCATGTAGATCTACTGACTGAGGTAAAATGATATGAGACTACTTGACAGGCCTTCAGACGTTCTCTGTAATTTCCTGTTTTATCAGGTATCGGTAGGAAGAAAACATAACAATAATCAAGTATGGAAACTTAAACGAAAGAACTTTAAAAAGCTGGTGAACTTGGCTTTCAATTAGGTATGCCATGTAATTATCTTTTGTTCATTCATTTCACAGTCTGTGTTCTATAGTACTTAATTGCAAAGAAAAGAGTAGACTGCTCATGTGTACACTAATTGCTAAATGCATAAGTGATTGAATGATCCTGTGCTCAATTCGTGAGAGAAAAAATATTAATGAAGCCAATACAAAGAAGGCAAAAATAGGACATAATCAACAAAAGTATATATTGCCCTCTTACTAAAATGTGATTTAAGAACAGATAGTATAAGAAATAATTTAGTTAACTCCCACACTTGATCTCACTCATTTTATTCCTATTCCAAATTTTTTAAAAAAATCTGTCACATCAGATTTAATCATCTGCAAAGAAATATTAATGCTGAAAAGTCAATTACTATAACCATTTTCTGTGCAAGGATGGGAGCCCAAGATTAACAAAACAACATTTGCTAAAAGGTTGTTACAATGAAACTTGAAAACAACCATTTTTAAGTTGATATGATTTCTTCTTCCATATATAAAAAATGGTCTGTGTTTACTGATGTCCAAAACTGGTGACTACACGAGGAGGAGCATAGTTTATTTATTTCATTTAAGAACTAAACACCAAACTAGTTTAAAAACCTAAAAAACTGCCCTTAACTAGCCACAAAGATTATTTTTACTGCTGGTTCTTATCAAGGAATGTAATCCTGATCTCTTTGATGCCTAAGTCTTTTAAAATGTTTTATCATAAAATATAATATTCATGGAGGATCAGTTGAAGGATGTATAGTCCGTTAACTTTTCTATAGTCTTTAAGTTTTTTCCTGGATTCTCTTTAGTCCATTAGAGACCTGTATACTTGGAATAAAGGT